GCAAGCTCAGCATTCGTTGTTAAATGTTACAGTTTTGTATTTTCAGCTCTGGTGTTACTGTTTAGAAAGGTTTGGATTCAGTTTAGGCTAGTTTCAGTGTTAGTTTTAGGGGGATTTTTGTTTTTCTTGCTTTTCTTATTATTATTATATGAAGAGTGTTTGTCCAGCTAAAATTTGGAAAAGTTAAAACAGGTATTACAATAAAGACACAACACTTTGTGAGGCTGGGTATTTGCTCGTTTAGTTAGCTCATGTCTCATCAAACAAATGCATCATACTCGCTGTGTTGTCAAAAACTACAAGTAAGGACATTTACTGCAAATATTTGTATTTTGTTTTTATTTCAAAAAGTCATTTCAGTTAGTTTTCAAGTGTGGGTGTTGTTTGTTTGTTCATTTGTTTGTCTGTCTGTCTTTTAGGTTAAATAAAGCCACACCTAGTCTTAGCTTTTAATATAGCTCTAGATCAGGTTAATAACATTCTAATCAAAGCAGGGTTTCCATGGAAACGCATTTCATCATTACCACATTTCTTACTAAACCTTCAGTGAAAATTTGATGTTTAATTAATCAGACCTTTAGTTCCAAGAATCAAAGGACACACGTCACACAAGGGAACAAATGTGCAAGCTTTAGACCTCCAGCATCTGTTTGAAGTCCATGGCTATATCCAGCCAGCGTGGCCAGTTTGTCTTTCAGCTATAGGTGACCTCTAGACCACCTGAAGGTTTTTATGTCATGAGCTGTCAGTGGAAGCGATGGACACAACATTTACAAAAATACTCAGTTTCACTGGTTAGTCCTGAGTAATTTAGGTCTATGTGCTTGTCAATAATAATGAGGATGACTTACATGCAAATTTTTAATTTTCATAAAAATTGAAGGTTAGATCGTGACCATGAAAACTATTCGCAGTTCATCTTTCTTTTTCTCTGCTGACTAAAACAAACTGTCAAATTAATTCCAGTAAAAACAACTTTGAATGTTTCGTGTAACTACACAGTTCAGCAGTGCCATCTACGGTTTATGTTGCTTAATTACAAATGATTCTTTCACTGTCAACTACTGATTTGTTCTCCAATAAAAGAGAAATTTTATGATTGATGGCTGTACAAATAAACCTGATGTCACCTGATCTGGTTACAGCTGGGACTACGCAAACCCACTCAGCGGTAAAACAGTAACACAGCAGCCTCGGTCATCTCTTTGGAGGCGCTCCAGCCTTGCTCTTTGCCCAGTCTGTCGTAGTCAAAAGATGGGAAGTCCCCACACTGCTCCTCAGGGTTGAAATATCCTCCTCCTCCTATACAATACTAAAAACAGGGTTTTTACACCATGTGTACTCACACAGTATTGGCAGATGTGTGACGACTGATTACTCACATGTTCAGTGTTGCAACCGACAGTCGGCTTCACACCAGAGCAGATAGCCATGGCCGCAGATTCCCAGTTTATTGCTCTGAAAGTGATGAAGCCTGGTTCAAACTCCCCTTTCATTCAAATAAACAAACAAATTAAATAATTAAATAAATAAACATTCATATGACAACTGGTTTAATTAATAGAGTATGTTCATACATACTTAAAAACCCTGTTATTCATTTTGTGTTGCAAGTTTAAACAACTATTTTATGTGTAAAATATGTAAAAGACTCTTATTACACATTAATTGTCTAATTAATTGTCTTCTAATGATCCAAATTATCATTTTCAATCTGATTAAATGAGCTTCTTACTTCTTGGATTGGGTCCATACAACTTTTTGGTGGACTCCGCGTCTCCGTGGTCGTATATGATGGGAATAGCTGGCCCTCTGTCACTGCATGTTCCAACTTTGTATCTCACCGGATATTGCTGCAACAGTGTTGGGGGGGTTTGTCATGAGTGTGTATGTATGGACACACGCTCACACAGAAACACACACATATATGTATAAAAGTAAAGGGTAAAGCCTCTGAAAATTGATCCAGTGGTTTATATTCTGCAGTAAAAAAAAACGTTTTCCAAGAACATTTTGAAGTGGATGGCAGGATCAGAATTTGGCATAAACAACATGAAGGCGTGGCTCCATCCTGTCTTGTATCAACAATTAAGCCTGGTTGTGATGCAAAGGTGGTGTAATATTTTCTTGGCACACTTTGGCCACAAGGAATTGAGGCAGCTCAGAAGGCAAAGGGGATCCAAGTTGGTATCAACTAAGTATCTCTAATAAAGTGACCAGTGAGTCATCCTCCTGTTCAGTTGTGCTCTGGGGTCTCTCACTTCTCTTTCTTTTCT